TTAACTGATGGTATATGGAGGGGATTATAATCAATGTAATGAAACAAAGTATATGAATTGTTGAATGTGAAACAGGATGTGCCCTGTAAACTTTCACTCAATCCACAATAAAACCTTATATTAAAAAAAAAAAGAACTGAGGGGCTGTGAACTTGTTCAGTTTTCTCTGATGGGCTGTTTGAACCATCCCATTTTCCTCTCCAGGCCCTTGGCATTGAAAGTGAAGATGACTTGTATAAACTGGTGAACTTCTTCCTCAAATACCAAGCGCATCATTTACCCTCTAGCCAGGTAAGTTGCCGTACCATCAAAAAGTTTTCGAATATTTTGGGAGCTCCCAAACTCACTGCCCTCAAGTTAATTCCGCCTCATAGAGATCCTATAGAACAGAATAGAACTGCCCCCATTGAGTTTCCAAGGCTGTAATCTTTGCAGAGGAGTCCTGGTGTGACCCTGTAGGATAAGCACTAGACCGTAAGGTCGGTTTGAACCTCAAGGTCGGTGGTTCAAACTCCCCAGCAGCTCCTTGGAGACACTATACAAGTTTGCTGTGAGTTGGAACCAACTCAATGGCACTTAATAGCTACAACAATCTTGATGGAAACAGACGGCCACGTCTTCCTTACACAATGGTGCTGGTGGGTTTGTACCACCAGCCTCTGTATTAGCAGCTGGTTGCTTATCCACTGTGCCAGCAGGGCTCCTTCCTTTGCATAATGCCTTAGGAAAAATAGTAGTGAGTTTTCCCCTGGGTTTTTCCTGGGTCTTCCCTTAAAGCCAGGCCTCAGCCACAATAAGACTGGGCCCACCAAATTCTGAATAGTTTGATCCTTAAGACTTTCTGAAGAGCAAAGGCCCGTTTGTAATGCCTGTCCTGATTATAACCAATTTCAGTAGGAGAATCAAGCATCAGTTATTTGGAAAAAAGAAGCATCATATTAAAAGGCTTAAATTTATAAATTGTTTTTAGTTGCTAGCTTCAGCATGAGTATCCTGATATACCTCCAAAAATAGTTTTCTATCTGAGTGAGCAAAACCTAGAAGCCATAAAGGAGAAAAAAAGGATACATTTGACTATATAAGAAAATTCTGTAGAGCAAAAATCAGTATGAGCAAAGCCAAAAGATAGATGACGTGGGAAATTCTCAGCTTGTGTCACAGTTAAGGGCCAATTGCCTTAATAGATAAAGAACTCCTATCAACCAATAAGACAAAGACAAACAACTCAAAGAATGGACAAGGAAGGGATATGAGCACCTCATAGAGAAGACGATACAAATAACTTTTAAACATAAGAAAAGAGAATTAAGCTTACTTGTAATAAGAGAAATGCAAATGAAAACTAGCCCAAATTCTATTTTTCACCTCTCGGGGTGGCCACAATCTGAAGGTTTGCTGACATGTAGTGATGACTGAGGTTGCAGGAAGGAGTTTAAATAGTTGTAGCTGCCACCATGGTGAGCAGTTTGGCAATATCAGTTACAAATGACAAAATCGTATTCATCTGACCTAGCAGTTCCTCTTCCAGAGGTTTATTCTGTGGCTATATCCCAATCCACTTGAAATGATGTGTTTATCATAGATTATTTAATGCAGAATTCTTGGAAATGACAGGAAACAGTAAACAACCAAAATATCCATCACTAAGGAATGAATTTTAAAACATCTGGTACATATATATGATTGGATGCTATGCAACCATAACAAAAGAAAAAGATGTTCTTTATGTATTTATATGGGAACATCTCTAAACTTTATTGGCATTGAAAACAAACCCAACAAAATTCCTAAGTATGTATGTGAAAAAGAGGAGAAAAGTGTGTACATATTTGCTTGTCCATATGTACAAACAATGTGTGTATGTATTTGTGCATATGTACATAATATTTCTCTGGAAGGCTACATAAGAAACTAACACTTTTTGCCTGTAGAATAAGAGTAGGAAGGAGAGTACAATTTAAAATTTTTATTATTTAAATTTAATATTTAAATTTTAAATATTACAATGTAATTTGTATTGTGATTCAAGAAGATATTCATGAGTAAGGTTTATGAATCTCAGTAAAATGAACACCTGTGAGCCCAGATTAAGAAACAGCATCATCATTGTTCTGAAGTCTCTATCTGCCTCTCCCTGACCCATCTCCTTTCTTTTCCACTTTCTCCTCTACCTCCACCATTTCTTTACTTGTCTAGCTGTCTCCCTCTGGATCTGTAGGTAAACTTTTTGCCGTTTTTTATCTCTTCCTGTCTTTCTGCTGTGTATCCCCAACCCATAGTTGCCTTGGCACCTTTCTCCAGATCACTCCTGGAACCTCTTTTCCCCTCAGGACCAACTGAGGGTGATGGTCGTACCAGAGCTGGCAGAGAAAGTGCCCCTCGAGGCAGGAAAAAAGGAAACCCGTTCAGAGGGTGACCATGAAGAGCAGGAGACCCCACCTTCACCCAGCCTCATCCACCCCAATGAGGTCCTCAAAGTTATGGAGGCCTTTGTCATGAGTCTCAACAAGTCCAGGTGGGAGAACTGGTGCAATGGATGGGAGGAAAAGTGAGTGGAGAATGGGGAGCGAGTACCTGGGCATTGGAAAGGAGTGTTGGGGCAGTTATTGAAGGACTATCAGAAAGGTGGGCTAGTGAGAGAAACAGGGTGCAGGAGTGATTTGAGTTCCTTCCTTTGTCACGCATTCATTCAGCAAATATTTGTTGGGGTGAGCCATATGCAGGCACCATGGGCAGGCATCTTGTGATGGAAACAACTGTAACAATTGTTGTAAGAGGTGTAGCAGTGCTTAGAGGATGTGGTTAACCCCAGCTGACAGGCTTTTGAAGCTTAAGAAGGAGATGGGATGGAGCGGGGTTTTGCTAGGTGGATAGAATGGGGAGAAGGTCTTTTAGGATGTGACAGCAGGGGAAAGGCCTGGTGTGTTCCAGGAGTCATGACAGAACAGTTTGGCTGGAGCACCAAGGGTCTGGCTGGTACGGGCTGGCACTGGGGAGCCAGGCCAGACCTTGGGGAGTCTTGTCCGAATGCCACAGATCTTGGTCTTTGTCTGCCTGAAGCAAGGAAACAGTTAAACAATGCGGGAGGCTGGAGGATGTGGTAGTATATGGACCTGCATTATAGAAAATTCATTTTAGCACTGAGAGACCATGAAGCTGGTGACAGAGAGGATCCTCCAGCTGGGAGGCAATTGTTTTCTGGATTAAGACCATCCTAGAGGGTGTGGAGAGGAGATGACAAAATGTGAGAACATTTTGGATTTATTGGTGAAATAAATGGGGCATAGTAATGAGCTGATAAACACAAAAGTTAAGCACTTGTCTGCTAACTAAAAGATCAGTGGTTCTAACCCAGCAGCGACTCTGTGGGAGAAAGATGAGGCAGTCTGTTCCTGTAAAGACTGCAAACTTGGAAGCTGTGGTGGTGGTGGTGGTGGTGGTGGTGGGGGAGTTCTACTCTGTCCTATGGGGTTGCTAGAAGTCAAAATCGCCTCAGAAGCCTTGGATGGGTCTAGTGAGTTGTAAAACCACTGTGGTAAACTGACTGAGAGAAAGACGGAGTGAGGACCCAGTGAAGCTTCTACAGAGGTGTCCCAGCATCCCCACCAAGAATCAGGACAATTGATGATAAGCTTGTTTGTTGTAAAGTGCTATCAATTTGGTATAAATCGTTGTTAACTGCCACCATGGTGGATAATTTGGCAGTATCAATTACAAATGACAAAATCATATACATCTGATCCAACAAGTTCTTCTTCTGGTTTCCGACCAATAGCAACCCTGTATAGGGTTTCCGAGAAGTGGCTGGTGGGTTTGAACCACTGACCTTGAGGTTTGCAGTCCATTGTGTATCTTCTGGCACCACACCAGGACTCTGTAGGTTAGAGATTGGTGGCGGTGGTGGTTGTGTGCCACTGAGTCAGTTCAGACTCATAGCGACTCATTGTATAGGATTTCTGAGGCTGTATATCTTAACGGGGTGGAAAGCCTCATCTTTCTCCCACAGAGTGGCTGTTAGATTCGAGCTGTTGACCTTGCGGTTAACAGTCTAGTTTGTAATCCACTTCACTATCAGGTTCTGAGACTGTGCCATAATCTGATAAACTCTAGACGAGTGGGCCACACAGGCAGAAAGGCAGTCAGTCATGTGGGCACAGGCTGTGCCTTTGTGAGGACAGGAGTCTGACTGGCACTGCTGAGCCCTAGGTGTGCCAGGTGGAGATGGTACCAGTGTTCTTTCCCTCAGGGACCCCAGAATGCCACTGAAGGTGCAGAAGGAAGTGCGCGATGACTCCAAGGATTCCCAGTACTGGAAGGCCCTGTCCAACGTTGTCCCTCCTGCCAAGCACAATCTCTGGGACGCTCTGTACACTGCCTTGGAAAAGTACCAGTGAGTGTTTATGTCATGAGGTCACAGGATGGCACAGCTTATGTTTCAGTATTAACCTAAAAGTTGGTGGTTCAAACTCACCCAGAGGTACCATGAGAGACAGGCCTGTTGATATGCTTCCATAAGATGGTGGTTGTTCTTAGAGTCTGTTCCAACTCATGGCAACCCTGTATATGGTTTCTGAGGAGCAGTTGCCTGGTCTGAACTGGCAACCTTGCAGTTAGCACCATGCTTATCCTACAGTGCCACACCACAGCCAAGAAAACCCTATGGAGCAGTTCTCTGTAACACACGGAGACACCGTGAGTCAGAATCGAGTTGGCAGCAATGGGTGTGGTTTTGTTTTAATTGGTTTGTGTCTGTTATGGCCCAGGAGGAAGAGGGAGCTGGGCAGGTAGGAGGGGGAAGGATCCTGTTTGAGGCAGCCACATTTGTAGGCTCATGTGAGATCTTGTGCTGGGAGAGCATGGTGGGTGCTGGCCCCTGGCCCCACCTCTCTGTTCATTCAGGGGGTTGCCCTGGTGGCTGCCTGGTAAGTGACGCATCTAGGATCAATGTGAAGTTCTGAGGTCCCCTCTTCCATCTCCAACCAAAACAGAAACGCAGAGGTCTTGGCTGCTACTAGGCAGAGGATGGAGGAGTCATTGGGCCTCTAACTTGTTTTTCTGCCCAAAGCCTTATTCTGACAGAGAGGGCCAAGCTGCTGATGGAAAATGATTCTTTGGAGCAGCAGAATACAGAACTCCAACTGCTGCTGCAACAGTATCTAGATTCCAAGGTGGGTAACAGGAGCCTTCTAAGGAGGGCAGGCAGGCAAGGGTGCGGAGCTGGGGGTGATGGTGGCAAGTGAGGATTCCCTCTCCAACCAGAGGCAAGAGAACTTGGGGATGTGAGGCCAAAAATCAAGTTGGGCCTCAGGTTGGAACAGAACCATCGGGTGAGGGAGTGACTATTGCCTGACGTGGAGACCTCCAGGATAGCTGGGTTGTGACAGTGCCCCTTGGATGCACATGGTTTGTGGAATAGCTGCCTGCTGGGTCCACTCCTCTATCAGCATTGCCAAAGTCAGCTTGCAGACTTCCATATGTGTATTTTCTTCTTTGATCCTAACAACCATCCCACGGCGTAGATGGGGCAGATATTAGTCTCCCCGTTTCACATAAACGAGAATGATGACTCAGGGAACTTGCGGCTTGTTCAGAACCCCTAGTCCTTCTCACATGCCCAGTCAGGTTGTCTGGCACCTAGAGAACAGCAGCTGGTGCTATCCTCTTTGCCCTCACTCCTGCCAACTCAATAGTCAGTTGTTGTTGTTGAGTGCCGTCGAGGCTGTAAATCTTTACGGGAGCAGAAAGCCTTATCTTTCTCCCGTGGAGCGGCTGGTAGTTTCAAACTGCTGACCTTGCGGTTCGCAGCCCGTTTCGTAACCACTACACTACCAGAGCTCCTTTAGTCAATAGTCGTGGCAATTCCCCTGTACCCTGCAGGGGAGCTCTCACCATCTCTGCTTCAAGGGACAGAGTCCTTTCCTTGCAGTTTCCTGCTCTTCTCTGCAGTGTGGGCTCCTTCACACGGATGCTAAGGCTATGGGCCTGCAGGGTTGTGACACACTGGATGGTGGGTGCCTGAGGGGCGAGGCAGGGGCACAAGGCATTCTTTCTCCCTCTGACCCTCTGTTCCTTGGGGACACAAGCCTGGGAAGAGGGATGCACACCCACTGGTAAGAGAGGACCCACCGGAGGGACTGTCTGGGGTGGAGCAGGTTGCTAGGATGAGAGGTGACAGGCTGGCCACAAGTCCATACACGGGCTAGGAGCCCCTGGCATATTCTGAAAGGGGGGACCAGTGAGCCCAGGCATCATGATGGCCTTCTAGCCTTGGAAAGGGCCTCAGACTTGTGGCCCCTGCACCCAGCAGAGCTAACTGTGTACAAGCGGCTGGGAAGGCGCAAGTAAAGGTGGGCCTGATAGGGGCAGGATGGGCAAGGAAAGGAGGGGAGAGGTGAGGGTCTAAGAGACTGTGTTAGAGGGATATCCACGACATTGCCAGAGGCTGTTGAAGTGGAGCAGAAGCTAAACAAGAAGGCCCAGGACTGCAGCCTTCAGAGGCCTCTTACAGCTGAGGAGAGGAGAGGAAGCCTACAAGGATTTGACTACACAGGGGAAGCCACCAGAGGCCATGGGGGAGGTGAGCCCACCATGTCCATTCTTTCTCTTCCAGATAAACTCTGAGCTGCAAGTGCCGCCAACTCAGGTGTTCCGGGTACCCATCAAAGAGAGCTAGGCCTCAGAGGGCTGCTGACACTGGTATGGGTATGGAGTCGGCACAGACCACCCTGGGAGCGGCACCTGGTCCTCTCTGGATTTTCCAGAACTGTTTTATAGGGCCTGTCAAAATGTCACTATTATTAAAGTCTTTTCAAAATGATGGCTGAATCTGTAAGGACGCCAGGCCTAGTGAAACCCCAGGTCCGTCTCTGTGTCATGAGGGGACTTTGTGGGTCTTACATCATGAGACAGAGGAGAGCCCACTGATACAGGGCTTGCTTCTTGGTTTGGGGATATTTGCTCTCATTGGGCAGAGGCTGGAGCTCTTGGACTCTTGGGTGCACTTAGGGCTGTGGTGTGAGGACTCTCCCAGAGGTTCCTCCCATGGGCCGGCAGCCCCACACCTTAGGCCAGCCTTGAACCCAGAGCCACAAGATGCTGGCCATAGGGGAAAGCCACAGGAGCAGCTGGTACTGTGCTACCAACCTCGAGTGCCCATTGACCCCATGCCATACACTGGGACTCTCCCTTCACTTTACCTTGTAGACATTAGCTCAGTGTTGGGTTTCTTTTATTAAGAGAAAAGTCACCACTCAAGAAAGGAAAAGGATCCAACAGGAGCCCAGCTCAGGCAGGGGCAGCACAGTGTGGACAAGCTCCCGGCTGCAGCTAAAAGGACTAGAGGGCCGGATCTGCAAGAGGCAGTGGGTGTCCTCGGGGCAGGTGTGGGGTGCAAGGTGGTCACTCTCCTTCTGCTCCTGGCCTAGGCCCAGGGGTGAAGGAGGGGCTCCTGGGAAGCCATCTGTACCCACTGGCAGGGCAGGGACCCACGGGAGGGGGTGTCATCAGGGGTGGAGCATTCTGCTCATCCCACAAGGTTAGGTCTGCTTCTTGGATCATTTCATTCACATCCAGAAGACCCGGGCAAGGGCTTGGGGAGCTTCCTCTGCAGTCAGGGTCAGGAGGAGGGTGCCAGCAAGGTGGGCCCAGAGGGAACTGCTCCACCTCAATCCCTTCCCCCTGTCCACAAGTCCTATAGGCAAGGATGGATGGCAGGTAGCATTCCCAGGGTGGTGAGGAGAGGCACTGGGGCATCACCAGCCTTGCGAGCAGGGGGTGGGCTCCTGGGACCCAAGGGTGAACACAGGGCTTCTCAGAATCCCCAGGGGAGGGGGAAACAGTCCAGGCCACAGGAAGTGCAAATGCAGGAGCCCCTGGAGAAGGGCGCGGGGCGGGGGAGAAGTGGTTGGGAGGAGGGGACCCTCAAGCCCCCAGGAGCTTCTTGACCATGTAACCTGGAAGGCTGTAGAGGAAGAGGGCCAGCATGAGCAGCCCCAGCAGGGCCAGCACGATCTTGATGATGAGCCACTTGTAGCGGGTGCAGATGAGGTACTTGATGGATTTGAGAGGGTTGAGGAACCAGACGAAGGCGGTGTCGGGCCGGCTGCGGGAGGAAGAGCATGTGTCAGGCTATGGACAGGAGCCACACCTCCCAGGGCACCCTATTCCTTCAGCCTTTCTAGACCCTAAGAGGCCCTGTCACTGCTGAGGTCTCAGGTAGTGCATGCTGGAGCCAGGACTCAAACCCATATCTCAGACCCAGGCTTGCTGATTAGATAATCCATCCTCTTTGCAGGGCGCGTCTAATCTCCCTCCCAAGGCCAGGACAGCGTTTTTGGAACAGTATTTCCCATTTTTTCCCCCCTTACTCTGAACACAAGCATCTGTCCCCATCTGTCTTCATCATACCCCAAGAGTCCCAGAGGGTGTGTGTGAGGCACCCCCAGGTGCAAATTGCTCTTCTACCTTTGCCCAGGCTCCTGAGCTGTACTTTCTGTCCATGTGGTAAAAAATGTCCAAGTCACCAAAACCCACTGCCACCAAGTCAATTCCAACTCATAGCCACCCTACACAGGATTTCCAAGGCTGTAAATCTTTATGAGAGCAGAAAGGCTCATCTTTTTCCAGAGGAGCTGCTGGTGGGTTTGAACTGCTGGGATTAGCACCACCATGGCGCTGCAAAAACCATAGTCTTTAATACAATGTCAAGATAAAAATTAAAGGATTAGACCTGCCTTTTATAACTACTCTCCTGCCAGTTCCTTGAGGACAGAACAGTGTGCCTTCAAAGCTGAGTGTGGACAGGCATGGGGGACAGGACACCTGGCTTCTAAGCCTAACTGTGACAGGCAATTTAGGTGCCTCTCTGAGCCTATTTTCTCATTTATAAAACAGGGCTAATAATTCTGGAGGGTGGTAAAGTGTTAAGCAAGACAGTGCAAACCAAGCTGGGCAGGGACAGAACTGACTATCCTGCAGGGCAGAAGTAGCAGAAAACCTCTGGGAGGCAGAATGTTGCTGGAAACTATTTAGGATTGCCTGGTTAAGCCCAGGCAAAGCCTTTTCCCTTGCCTGTCTACATTCCAACTTCTTTCTGCCAGTGGAATTGGGGCTGACTCTCTGTCAGGAATGTCACTGGGAGAGGACGTGGTGCAGTGTGACAGACACTACATTGACAATTCAGAAACCTAGGTTCCAATCCTGGCTCCACTCATTTTCTGGGTGACGTGGGGCAAGTTACTTCATCTCTCTGGTCTTATATGTAAATATGTTACAACAGTTGTCTTGGAAACTTGAAAGTCCTGGTGTATGAGAGAGAAACAGAGAGTGGTGTGTGTATGTGTGTATGTGTATGAATGTATTCCACCTGCCACCCAGTACATGAGCAGTACCACACCAGGAGGAGCTGGGGCTCAGGCCCCGAGGATCTTCTTGACCAGGTAGCCAGGCACAGAGTAGAGGAAGAGGGCGAGGAGAAGCAGCAGCAGCGCGAGCAACAACAGTTTGAGGAGCAGCCAGCGGTACGTGTGCCACAAGAAGTAGCGGGCTGATTTGAGAGGGTTCAAGAACCAGACGAAACTTGTGTCAGGCCGGCTGTAGCAGCCAGAGGAGCAGAGGAAGCAAGGAAAAAGGACAGAGAGGATGAAAGGATTAAGGACCAAGAGGGAAGCAGACCCAGGGCTGAGTACAAGTCATTCTGGCTGGGCCCCCGGATTCTGTGTCAGAGCTGCTTCCAAAGGCAGGGCCTTCATCCTGGAAGAGGCGCTGGTTCCAGCACTGACAGCCAGCCCACCCTCTGAGCAGGACGGGTTCTGAGGGAGGAGGTGGGCAGGGAAGGGAGGAGGAGGAAGAGTCCTCATAATGAGCTATGGCCCAGGGCATGACTGAGAGGGAAGAGATGTCAGAAGAGTGGTGAGGAAAAGAACACCCAAAGGTTCTGGTCCAGCTCCGGCCCCTCCTTCCTGCCTGTCCCAGTACAGGGCCACTCACTTGGGTTTCTCTAGCGGGTCGGGCTCGTTTCGGGCCAGCCCCACTGGATTCTTCTCTGCCTCCTCAGCAGTCAGTAGATGTAACTCTGCCTCCACCTTGCCCTTTAGAGAAGGGATAGCAAGGTCCCAGAGGTCAGACCAGGTGTCACCCCAGCCTGGCCCTGGTGTGGCCCACTGTCCCAGTAGGTGGTGATGCCCACCGTGAGCTCAAACTCGTCATTCTCATTCCGGGCCAGGAGGGGCCACCAGCCCTTGACGCGCTTCTGCTTGAAGATGGAGACCAGAGGTACGTCCACCTCTCCCGTGGCCATCTCCATGGAGCACTGCTTAGCTGTCTTTGCGCCCCGTGGGAACCGGTTCAGGTCCAGCTCAATGGCCCCTGTGCAACCCCAGAATCAGCTTTAGGTCGAATGTGGCCCCTTGCTCTCGAGTTTCCTGCTTCTCTCTCCAACTCCTTGTCCCAACCAAGGAGCTCACACTGGCTCCTTGGCTGACCCTTCAGCTGGAGGACCTATCCTGGTGACTGCCACACATCCCCTTGCCGTGTTGCCACACTGCACTATCCTGTCTATCTCACAAATCTGGCCCAGATGCCAACGGGAGTTTTCAGGGGAAATCTGATTTTACAGAGAAGCAGCCTCATTCGTACCCTCAGCAGTACAGATGCCCCTCCTCAGAGCACCGAGTCCCTGTGGACCCTGATTATGACTGAGGACACCTGCCCTGGGCATTGTTGGGGAGGTCTTTGAGAAAGGGATCCTGTCTAACCCCTCTGGCCCTCCAGGGTGGGCTCACCCCTGGCCCCCAGCCTGCCTCTCCACATTGCAGGGAGCTCCTGGCTCCCATCCCCACTCAGTGCCATCCTGTCTGCTCAGCTCTGTACCCAGGAAGTCGTCTGCGGAGAAGTGGTCAGCATCCCAGATCTGTAGGGTAAGACGCGCAGGGATCTTGTACTCTGTCTCATCCCAGGAGAACATGGACTCTTTCTTAGAAATGACAATCTTTTCTTCAGCTGCCAGGTAGTCGAAGGGGAACAGGTAGCGCCAGTTGAAGTTTCCCTCACCAGTGAGGGAGTGGTAGTGGACATCGGTGTCCTGCTTGTCCTCCTGCTGGCCCTTCAACCACCTGTGGACATCACATGCTTTTGACTTGTGATCACACTAATGGGGCCACCCGGTCCCATGCAGTCATGACGCTGCAGAATAAGCACTGGACTGCTAACCTCAATCCCACCAGCTGGGATCACACACACGGGGTCGCTGTGAGTTGGAGCCGACTACACAGTACTTAACAGCAAACACCTGTCCCCACAGCTCCTCTAGCCCTCTCCTGGCCCCTAGGAGTAGCTCCAGCGTGGCTGCCCCCAACCCTAGGGCCCTCACACACCCCCGCACAAAGATGTCACTGGACTTCTCCCCAGTGAAGAAGTCATCGTCCTCCAAGACCACCTCGTCTGTGTTCCACACAATCACCCGCAGCTCGTACCTGTGAAGGGCCAGGGGATGAGAAGCAACCTAGCATGAGGCCTATCCCCGGGCCTTGGGGCCTGGAGATAAGATGACTGAGAGAAGGCCTGGGGACTGGGCTGGTTGGGGTGGATGTGGGGACGGCATGATCAGGAGCCTTGGGGGCCAAAGGGAGACCTCAGTCCAATGGGGTCCTGGGGTAAGTGGGAGGGCCAGTCTGC